CCTTGTGGGTTCCACGTTAAAGCCTGCCTGGTGATGCTTGTCGGGGGTCTCCTCAGGGTGTGTCCAATCCATTTCCATTTCTTCACCTGAATATCTTCCTTTACTGGCCTTTGGCTTGTTCTCTCCCACAGTTGAGCGTTAGTGACTCGATCGTACCACTAATCATAATCATACTCATTGTGGATTTCTCTGTTTCTGTTTCCTTCCAGGTGGAAAGGGACGCAGACACCGTAAAGGTCGGAAGAAGGGCAAAGGTCGAGGCCGCAAAGGTCAGGGTCGCAGAGGTCGAGGTCAAGGTCACCACCGTGAGCGCAGGCAGACAACAGTAAGGTCACCCACCACCACCACCACCACTACCACCTTCTCCACCACCACCACACCTTCTTCACCTTCTCACAATAACACTGTAAGCAACTCCGGGGAAACAGCAGTTAATGTTAATGACATGGTGTTTATGACCTAGAGCAAAGATCATGTATAACAAGATAGTTCACTCCTCTCTTGGAGCCAATGAAAAAGTGTCCTCAAAAATCGGTAGCGCCCTCTTCGAAAAAGTGCTCTCTTTGCGATCAGAGTTAGCCTGCTTGTGTGAAAAACAATACAAGTGAGACTAACAAACTATGATATTTCTATTCTTCTTCTGAAAAAACGAAAGAGAGCTTCCAAACAAAGACTGCAGCGCCATTTGAACCAATGCGCGGACTTCCACGGACACTTTTTTGGCTGAGTGAACTATCTTGCTATGTAAGATTTGTGTCTATAGTGCGACAAAAAATTCGTGGCGCAACTTATCCTCAAATATCTCTTTAACGGGTGAATCGTTGTCATCCATTATTTGCACAGCAGTTTGTATCAGTTTGTCTTAAATTAATCACATTTTCCACAACAATTGAGGCTAAATTTATATAAAATACTATAAATCTCCGTCACGAAAAAAAATGGGATTGTTCACAGCACTTCTCGCTTGTCACACACAATTTTGCTTTCACATATGACCTACGTCACAACTCATCAATGACACTTTTTAATGTAAAAACTTGTTATTCGAAATTAACTCTATAGTGAGCACATTTTTTGCACTAAATTATGTTCTCAACGCACGTGATCAATAAGGATAGTGCCACAATTAGAACAAAAGTGACAGACTTGCTTTAAAAGCGGTATTGTCCCAGCTATAAAGCTTTTTAAATCTGTGGAAACCACACTCTTGGATTCTTAATTAGTATTTATAAAGGAATTTTCTAGAATACAGCTAACGGGTGTTTACGAAAATATAGACCTGTTAAGACAAATTGATACAAGTCATTATTCAAAAGCTAAAGAGTCAATGTTCACTAGTTTATGAAATATTAATTTGACAATAAGTTGCGCCACGTATTGTTGATCGCACTACAATGTTAATGGCATAATGTTAATGACGTGATGTTGATGACGTAAGCAACCCCTTGCAGCCTCGCACAAAAATAACCACTGCCTGCCTTTCTACTAACCACCACTGCTTCGAGAGACGATTTTGAAATGGGATTAATTTGTTTTGGTCTTTTATTTGCGTTTTTTTTTTGTTCTTTAAAACCTGTCTATTCCCCTTTCTTCCCGTATTTTTATTTTACTCTATTATTAATTTGGTTTACTTTTCTCCAACTATATATGAGAGGCAGCGTGGTGGAATCAGGCTCTCGTCAAAATAATCACAGTGAAGAAACTTGCTTTTTTCTATTGGTTTGTGAATCTTTATTAAACTTTTGTTCTTTGGCTCAACACCTTTCATGCCCGTTAAAGAACTCATTTCTGTGTGGATTTTTCTGAAAAAAACGTTGATTATAGGCACCACAATAAATGTAAATTTTCAGTTACCACGGGCTCTTAAGCTAAGGAAATAACTAATCTTTGGCTGCCATTTTTCACTAATTTTACCTCTGAAAACAGGTGACCCCCACCTCCTTCTTTATCAAATATCTCGACTTGTATTCAAGATAGATGGATATTTTTAAAATCCAAATAAAGACAAGTGAACAAGCTTTACGATGATACCAATAACTCTACATGACCAAAAATTGACGAGAGCCTGATTCCACCAGGCTGCCTCACATATACTTTCGTAAGTTTTGTCGATTCTTATAAGAAATTATGTTCACCTTTTGAAGAAATATAATTAAAACTTCATTCATTCATTCATTCATTCATCCATTATTTCCTTCATTCCTTCATTCCTTCATTTGTTTATTTGTATGTTTATTTATTAACGTTATTTATTTATTCACTCTCTGATTCATGTATCTTTTTTAAAAAATTTAAATATTTTATTTGCTATTTGTCGTTCGCTGCTTGCATCCTCTTTCTTTTGTGACGGGTATGCGAATGTACGGCCGGCTGCTTTATCCAAAACTTTCGAGAATATGGTCCCTTTTCATGTACTGATCCTGCATTAACATTAGTGTTGCTCTCATATTCATGATATGTTAACACTTAAAGCAAAGGCCTGTTATATGTTTGCTTTCACAATAAAGCAGTAGTTTTGTTGAAATACTTTTATTGCTCTGTATCTTCAGTAAGAGTTTGACGCACTTGCAATACAATAACGTCATATAAAATTAATGTTCTCTGTATCTTTGTGCAAGTGGTATTCTATAATGTAGTTTTGGTAAGGTATTGTAGCTGAGTGCTTTGCTTTCTTTAATCTATACATATTATATTTGTGAAAGTTCGTCACTTTTGCAGCCTAAAACTTCCGAACCACATAACTTTCGAATTTGACAAAATTAATGATGGTTCAAAATCATTTAAAGGGTGCACAGTTTTATTGAGGAGCCTGAAGTCACTGTAGTTTAATTTTCAGTTTTTCATTAGTTTCGTTTAGATCTAATCTTGGGAAAGTCCGTCTTCTAAGACGCCATTTTGCGACAACTGAGGTTTCCGTTCATTAACCGTTCGCACAGTTTTGAGAGTATAGATCTAAACCTTATTTTTTTTTGCATCGCTCACGATTAATTTATTGCTCCATTCCAGTAGAGTGTAGATATCGTAGGCCAATGACTTTCGCCTGATGTTAATGCACCGATCATTCCTTTCATCGAAAGGGGACCGAGCTAGTATTATAATATACTTAGTTCATGATCAATCATCATCATCATCATCATATTAAAACTGTTAAGACCTTGTTGTATTTCCAAAAATATATATTTTTCACAGTTCAACGTTTCGCCAATAAGGTTTCATCAGGAACATAGTATTTGAGAATAAAATAAATGGGTGATGACGCCACAGCAACAAAGTGTTCACTATAAGTTACGTATTGGTGTGGTTTGGACAATATCGGAAATATCTCCATCATCATCATCATCATATACACAGGCTATAAAAACTAAAGTGCGTACATAAATGTCTGAATATTTAAAGGAGCGGTGAGTACAATCATCATCATCATCATCATCACCACCATTATCATCACCACCTTCATCATCATCATCATCATCATCATCATCATCATCATCATCATCATATACACAGGCTATAAAAACTAAAGTGCGTACATAAATGTCTGAATATTTAAAGGAGCGGTGAGTACAAATCG